CGCCGCACCCCAGAGGCACGGGGAGCAAAGCGGCAGCGGTGGCGGGGTGCCACGCCTCTGAGGCTTTGCCAGAGCAGAGCGTCAGAGGCGCGGGACCCCTCCGCCTCCCCGGCTTTGCTCCCGGTGTCCCTGGTCTGCTGGAGACGGTCCCCAGCAGACCAGAGGCACCGGGAGCAAAGCCAAAGCGGCGGCGGGGTGCCGCGCTTCTGAGGCTTTGCTCCCGGTGCCTCTGGTCTGCTGGGGACCGTCTCCAGCAGACCAGGGACACCGGGAGCAAAGGAGGCGGAGGGGCGCTGGGGTATAAGACGAAATCCTATCTTTTAACTAAAAAATTAGGGGGTCGTCTTATACGCCCAGTCGCCTTATACGCTGGAAAATACGGTATGTGGATGCTCAACAGGGATTCTTGGCACAGAAAGAGCCTATCACAAAAAGCACAGGTGCTCTGATGGCCATTCATAGAATGGCCATCAGAACTTCCTTGCGCAAGAGCATCCATGCAGTATGGACACTCTCTGGTGCAAAAGCACATTTCTTTTGCGATGTGCTTTTGAGGTGTGGATGCACTTTTGCTCAAGAAGTTTTTGCGGAAGATCTCTTCCGCAAAAAGCTTCTTGTGCAAAAGCCCTGCAGTGTAGACAAAGCCTTCGTGAGAGGCATAAGGATCTTGCGCAAAATGAGGTTTTTGCACAAAACAGAAGTGGCTACACTGCTTCTTTTTGTGCAAAACCCCGTTGCACAAAAAGAAACGGCAGAAAATATGCTAATGAGATTGCAACTTATGCTGATGAGACCCTCATTAGCATATTTTCTGCCGCAAAAACTTGCAGTGTAGACATAGCCAAAGTGTGTGAGAAAATACCTTTTACTGGACAAACTTCTGTTGATGAATGAGATAAGCTTTCAAACTTTCAGAGCTCATCTTCAGGCCTCTTCTTCTATCGTATTAACATACAGTTCATATTACTTTTAAGAGGACTCACAGGCACTGTCTCTCTTTATAAATATCATTGTTGTAGTCTGTTATTTGATACATTAATTAATCTTTGTAGATGCATGAAAATTAAAATAATCTGTTGGCAGTTGTTTACCATAGACTTGCTGAGTTATGCAAGTTGATATACCGGGGGAAACAGTAGGCTATTAGTCACTGTGACATATTGTATTACTCTGAAGTAACTCATCCTGAACTGCTTTGAAGTCTGGCCTTAAGTCACTACAAAGGATCTCGTTATATTCTTATTTGCTAATTGTGGTGCCTGCTAAACTCTGGCACTTTCATAACAGTTGTGATTCCCTCTTTCTAGGTGAGTAAGAAAATGTAGTGGACAGAGGCAAGGAAGAGAAGCCTCAAGTGGTGGAACGGAGGGTTCTCTCTGTTTGGGATTTCACCCTCCCTATCACGCTGCCTCACAATGTCAAAGAAGAGTGCCAGCAGCCGAGCTAAGGGAGAAAAGCCTGATGCCTTAGCTGTCTTACAAGCTGCCAATGAAGAGCTCAGGACAAAACTAACAGACATTCAAATAGAGCTCCAACAAGAGAAGAGTAAGGTGTGCATCTTTTTTTTTCATTAATTAAAAAAAATATATCTGTTATTTTCTAAACACCCCTCCTTCCCAGCTCTCCACAATGGTGGGTGAGGTACAATATGGAATTTTTTCATTTATGAATGCGTCTACATTGCACTCGTAACTCAAAATAAGCTACTCAATTTGAACTATGCAAATTGCATAGCTTATTTCGAGTGTGTTTCAAAATGGTTTATTTTAATTTAAAAATAAATTGCTATTCCAAAATGTCCCGTAATCCTCCTGGAATGAGGTTTACAGGAATGTTGGAATAGCGAGGCCGTTATTTCTAAATCTATTTTGAAATGACGGCTGTTTAAAAGACACAGAATATCTATTTTAGGATACTAGAAGTATCCAGAAATAGCACTGCAGCGTAGGTGTACCTCTACAGTGTCAGAACTGGCTTTGTACTGCAGCATTTTTGTTGGGGTGCATTTTATGTGTTCTTTGGGGAAAGTTCGTAATCTGAGTAAATTAGAGCCAAGATATGCAATAACTCTTAATAAAATAGTGCTAAGTATTTCTGAGAGAAGGTTGCTCATGAAATAGTGCAGTAAATTTTACATGGATTCCTTTACTTTTTACTTTTAGTATGAAATCTGCAAGTTATGTTTGATGAATTATATTTTTGCACAAATCCATGTCTTAATGCCTTATTTAATAGTCTAATTGGCCCCTCTGGTGGAAAAAGATATATTATCAGGAGGTACTATCCATCAGAAAAAAAGGGACGATACTATCATTAATTTGTTAAAGGTACACATCAAACAGGCAGGCATGGTAATTTATACTCAGGACAATTTGTTCCTTAATTCTGAACTATGGTAGCAAATTAGATTACATGGCTGAGTATTCAGAAACATAAAGCTTGGATTTGCTTTTAGAAGTTTGCTGACCTGTTTAGGAACAGTAAAAGTATTTTGTGCCTTATAGAAAAATTCTGCAAAAGATTCTTCATGAAAGCAAATTGTTATAATATATGTATATATGTAACCTTAACAACTTTACTGACATTCTGTGTGAGGCAGACAGAGATGATCATGACTTTTAAAACTGCCTTAGTCTGTAGCTGAAAAAAAAAGAAGTCCTGTGGCACTTGAGAGACTAACAGATTCACTAAAATTAGCAATTTTAGTGAATCTGTTAGTCTTTCAAGAGCCACAGGACTCCTCATTTTTAAATTTCATCATTAAATTTGGGTCTTACTCCTAATTATGCTTTGATGAATTTGCTAAAATGAAGTCACCCCCCGCCTCCCTATCTCAGTTAACCATGTATTAGAATTTAATTTTTCAGAAGAGCTGAAATACAACATAAAGTGTACGTACTTCTGCAGAATGTGCCATCTTTTATTTCAGCTGGTCAGCCACAAAAGAAGGACAGAAAGGACTTTAGTTTAACCATCAGAAAACTAATTCCTAAGGGTATGTCTACACTAGGAAGTTATTTTGAAATAACTAAATTCAAAATAACTCCTGAAATAACTGTTTCAAAATAAGCTTATTCCCCAAGGAAAGCAGGAGTACAAATTGCAAAATAGTGGGTTTGGTAGCGTGAACACTCTGCTTATTTCGAAATAAAAGGGATAGACCAGGGTTTAGTGTTTAACACTAGTTAATTTCTAAGGATTAAGAGTTGGTGACTGTGAGCTCTGAAGAGAGAGGGAGTGTTTCTTGAGTTTAGGCCTGTTTGGGAATCTTATCTTCATTAAGTACTGACTAGTCCTGGCCATATCTCCTAGAAACATCATCTTCCAGTCCTGGCTTACTCTCCTGCGTGCCTCACTACCCTTCCCATGCAGCCAGTTTGTGTCCTCTCAAATCAAGAATAAATGAACAGAAGTGGAGACATTTCAGAGTCACATCAGGCATCTGGAGAGCACAGCTTCCTTTCCTTTAGACACACCTCAATTTTCTGCTGTCATGCCTTATTTTCATCTGCTGCATTAAGTCTGTGTGCGTGTCATTTGTTATATTGCTATTGCCCTCTGCTGCACATATGGCCAACAGTCTTGTTGAATGCACTGCACTTCTTTTCTTGTTAGCATGGGCCTCAAAGTGGAAGGGACAACTGAAGCCAACATTTTTTTGAAATTTCAGAGATTACATTTTCACCAGCATATAAATTTGAACTACAGCACATAAGTACTACCGAATAGTAGTTTGAAGGTTAGGATGTGAATAGAGAGGAAAATGGTCTAAGTATAACAGGAGAAATGGCTTGGAGGAGAGATGGAGAAGGAGAGAATACACAGAGAGTATTTATAATAGCCAGACTTTTGAACTCTACAACTTTCTTCCTGTAACTCAGGGGTGGGCAAATACTGGCCTGCTGGCCAGATGTGATCCACCAAGGTCAGGGTTTGGTGGATAGGCCCATACACCATCATACTTACCTGAGACACCACAGATACAGGGGATTACAGTTCCCCTTAGTGGCAGATTGCTGTTCCTGTCCAATTGAGCTGAGATCTCCTGTTACTGTGGAGGTATAGGTAAATATAGTGGCAGCAGCCCACCAGGGGTGAATCCTGGTGAACCCTGCTGTAACCCAGTCATATAATGGAGTCAGAGTTTGCTGACAGTTGGGCACAGTGCAAAGTCTATGTGTTTATTCGAGAATTTTTCAGAGAGAAAGGGTTGATTAGGAAATTTTAGATTAGGAGAGAAGCTCTTACATTTTGGAATAAGAACAATGTTGTTGCTGCCAATAGGTAAACTATCTATATGTACTCTGTGATTATATTATAAATTGCTAATAATCAGAGTATTGCATAAGTATATTTTTATTAAATAATCTAGTAGAAGAGTATCCTTGGGTAAGTCACTTAACCTCTGTGTTCTTCAATGTACTACTCTAATCAATGTGAATGATAAATACTTACCTATATACTTACATTGTATTAATTAATGTTTATAAAGCACTTAGGGTACAGCTCTCATTAGCTCTTATTAGCCTCCCTAGTTCGATCTAGGGGGCTAGTGTAGATGTACCCTTAGAGGTCTGTGGATGAAGGATACCTAGAATTGCAAAGGTTTTTGTTTGATTAATTGTGATAAAATCCAGAAAAATCAGGATGTTGTCTTTCAGACTTTTAGCTTCGTTACTGATCATTTACAGGTTGAACCTCCCTTAACCAGGACTTCCTGGTCTGGCAGGACCTCAGATGTCCCAGGGCCAGAGAGTGCCTGTGGAGGGCTGGTTGCTGGGAGCCCTGCCCAGGGGCTAGAGCCCAGCAGTAATGGGGCTGCCCTGTGGCAGCGAAACTGGGAGCTCAGAAGTAGGGCTGTTGCCTGGTGCCAACATTTCAGGGAGTGCGAGTGAGGAGGGTGGGAAGCAGTGGGGCTGGAGACCAGCAGCGAAACTGCCCTGTGAGACCGGGAGGCAGCAGGGCCACCCTGCAGCACACCCTGGAGCCTGGCAGCCCCGCTACTGCCAAGCAGCTCAGCTGAGCGGCAGGACTAGGAGGCAGCGTGGCTGCCCCATGAAGTAGGGAGCTCTACTGCGGGGCTGCCTGGCTGTGGGGCCACGAACCTAGGAGTGGGGTTGTTGCCCAGCAGCACAGATCTGCCCAGTGAGGCTGGGAAACAGCAAGGCTACCGAGCAAGGCTGACCCAAAGTGGGGCTGTTTCCCTGCAGATCATCTGGACCCAGCAGGGGGGGCTGCCCTATGCGGCTGGGAGCCCGGCAGTGGGTTTGTGGGTGCCGGCAGTGGGACTGCCAAAGTGGGGCCAGGAGCCCTGCATGTGGAGGGGCTGGTGCCAGGGAGGAGCTGGTTGGGAGGCTGGCAGCGAGGCCATGACTGGGGGGCTGGTGATGAGGAGGCCCCCAAAGAATGACCTGTCCTGGTCTGGCAAAATCCCTCATCCAGATCCAGTCAGGTTCCAAGAATGCCGGGCCAAGGAGGTCCAACCTGTACAAAGGGCTGTTAAATTTTACTTCTGGTTTTCCAAGCCTAATTATGATTCATGTGGTGTTGATCTTTAAAGACATTTGGTCTTTTCCTTTGACTTATTTCAGTCCTTCCTCTTATTTTCATAATTTACCTTTCCAATTGAGGAATTGTCTATACTTCCACATAGCTATTTCTCAAGAGAGATTTATACATCTGTCTTATGCAAATATCTTATTTTCAGAGTTTCCTCCTTTGTGAACTAGTTTTAGGGTCAACACAGCTACAAGATTTTTGCTACTGCTTTTGGGAGTATCTAGGTCGCTCTGAGTAGTTTATTTTGGAGAAGGGCCAATTGAGAGTGGAGACAAAGGCTGATATATATGTTTTGGGTAGTTTGGGTGTTTTATAAATATGTCATAAATGCTGTTGAATGATCGTGTCTCAGGGTATGTCTACACTGCCACCCTAGTTCGAACTAGGGTGGCTAATGTAGGCATTCGAAGTTGCAAATGAAGCCCAGGATTTAAATATCCCGGGCTTCATTTGCATCTTGCCGGGTGC